GAGCAGGGAGCCTGATGCGGGACTCGATCCCGGGACTCCAGGATCATGACCTGAGCCGAAGGCAGTCGCTTAACCAACTGAGCCACCCAGGCGCCCCCTTTGGAAGATTTTCGACAGGGCATGAGCTCTCTAAGTCCCCTGGCAGCCCACCCAACCCATTTCAGCTCTCCGCCTGGCCCCCGAAGGCTTTGCGTTTGTGACCTCTGCACCCCATCCGGGCACGTGGCATAAAGCCCCCTGCTGCGTGACGTCAGCCACTTTGTAAAAGCAGGAAGAGTTGCCCCAGCCTTCAGTGATGCTGGCTGAGCACCTACTACGTGCCGGGCCCGGTTCTGCACCTAGAGATGCAGTCCTGCACGAAACACAGGCATGCGGAGCCCGTGCAGCCCAGACGCCGGCTGTGGGAGACGAGACCAGGACGAGGCAGAAGGCATCGTGGGCCCGGTGATGGGAAGATGATGGAAAAGAGAAAGCGATCAGGGAGGGTGTGAGATTTTAAGAAATACCCAGGCGTAGGTATATACGTCTCTGTCCCCAGTTCCTGCTCATACTTGGTCTGTGATCCCTGTTCCCGACACAGAGCTCCCACCCTTGCGAGCTCCCCAGTGAGTGGGGGAGAGGAGCATCTTACACGGAGCTCCTAAATCCCTTAGAATTTCCTGGGCGAGACAAGCGCCTTTTGTTCTACTGAGGTGACTCTCGGTGGGCTCCCCAGAAAGACCAAGCCCTGGTGAGAAATTGGAGCCTTCAGCCCCGGCCCCCATCCTCAGGGAGGGGAGGAGGGGCTGCAGAGTGAGTTAACGATCCATCATGCTCATGGGATGAAGCCTCCATGAAAATCCCTCAACTGTGAGGCTCCGGGGCTCTGGGGTGGGCTGAACACATCCACGTGCAGGGAAGGGGGCGCCGGCAAATTGGTTGTGGGTGGGTTGGCGGGGGTAGTCCCCATCCAGCTGGTCCCAGAAGTGCTCTGAGTGGCAGAGGAGAAACAAGGGCATCTTTACAGAGGGTCCCAGGGGGTGAGCTCAGAGAGGGGACAGGACCAGATCTCTGCACGAGGCTTTCTGGGGCCAGGCTGGTGTCTGAGGAACTCAAATGGATGTGGAGGGGCTCTGGGTAGAGACCCAAGGAGGCAGGGGTGGAAGGCGGGGGCCCAGCTAGGTGGCTGGACCCCAGGTGTGACCTCAGGTGGCCTGGAGCAGGTGACAAAGCTGGAGGTGGGGAGAAGGGGTCGGGCTCCAGGTTCATCTGGGAGGGTGCACCAGCAGCATCTGCGGAAGGCGGGGTCTGGTGTGTGTGAGTGAAACAGGGATGGAGGACGACACCGAGGGTTTTGCCTGCGCTGCTGGGGGGGATGAGGGGAAACGGGAGGGGCAAGGGGCGGGGTTGGGCAAGCCAGGTGCCCACCAGGCCCCAAGTGGGGATACACAAGCAGATGGATCTGCAGATCTGGGGCCCAGGGGAGGGAGCAATGGGGAGCTTCACTGAATGGATGGTACCCAAGTGAGCCACTGGTGCAGCCCGTCCAGGGAGAGAGTGTGTGGAGGTGGCTAAAAAGGGAGTCGAGGACAGACACCAGCACTGGGTCCGCAGGGAGGCTTTGGAAAAGGAGAATGTGCAACCATCCCAGGGGCGTGGTTGGGCTAGGGAAAGGAGCGAAAGGAGCGTTATCCCCAGTTTCCAGAGGAGGAGACTGAGGCTCCGAGGAGGTCTGAACCTTATTCCACCACCCCCTTGACTCCACCATCCTTCCAAGAATGTTTGTTGAATGCATGCATGCATGCACACACGGATTTCCATTACCACTGGCGCTCGCCGAGGCTGACCTGCAGGCCCAGCTTGTCCTCCACCCACAGCGTCCGCAGCACGGGGATGTTGTGCTCGAGGGTGTAGTCCAGGGAGATGTGCTCTGGCTGCTGAGTGAACATCAGCTCCTCGGACACCTGCTGGCGTGGACGACTGAGACCCGGGCCTTGGGCTGGGCTGTCCCCACAACCCCCAAGACCCCCCAGCTCCCAGAGGCCCCACTCATAGAACTGCACACCTGTTTGCTGTCCAGTGCGACCCGCAGGGAGCGTCTGTAGCCGGGTCCATGGCTCTCGGTGGCCAGTTCCAGCAGCACCCGGGCGGGGAGGCCCGAGGGGCTGGGCTGGGCCGGGCCATGTGTGAGCAACAGCTCCACCTCCTGCTGGCTCTGCAGAGCAGTAAGAGAAACAAAAACTCAGTGCCTGGGAGGTGGCCAGGCTTGCCCACAGAGGGGAACATAAACCGCTCAGAATTAAATCAAGCCTCCTGTCTCCCCCTTCCTGTTGCCGACTGCACCGTAGAAAAACAGGAGAATTTCCGGCAAATGCAGTGAGTGCATTTGGGATGCCTGACAGAAAGTAAGCGGCAAGCACAAAATTCACTGGGGAGGAGCCCAGGAAAAGAACCTCAGAAAGAAAGTCTTCGGTGAGGTACAGGGAGGGACCCACAGAATGTTTGAGAAGGACACGCCTTGCAGGTTGGGTTGCAGCAGGAAGGAAAAACACCTGGCCTCCAGACAAATAAAAACTCCCGAGACATTCAGATGATGCTCACAGAATGACGTGCAGAATGACTTGCAAGGTTGCTCCACACACTTAAGTGATGGTTAGTGACTCTCCCAGGGAGCTCTGGGAAGGCCAGCGAGTTCACATGAAATCAAGCAGGCAGAACTGAACCTACACACACCCTCTGATCTAGCGATTCCACTCGGTGCGTGTTCATTCAAACACATGCAAGCGTGCTTGAGGCAGCGCTATTTGTAAGAGGCAAAAACCGGACACTTACATCCCTAAGAATTGAAAGCAGGGTCTTGAGAAGGTATCTGCATGACCGTGCTCATAGAAGCGCTACTCACAATAGCAACCTGAGCATCGGCTGACGGATGATGGTATTACTCAGCCTTAAGAAGGAAGGACATTCTGACACCTGCTACAACATGGATGAACTTTGAGGACATGACACTCAGCGAAAGAAGCCAGTCACAAAAAGATCCTGTGTGATTTCACCTGTAGGAGGTACCTTGAGTAGTCAAACCCAAAGAGACAGAAAGTAGAAGGGGGGTTGCCAGGGGCTGGGGGGAGCAGGGAATGGGGAGTTACTGTGTCATGGGGATAGAGTTTCAGTTTTGCAATGTGAAGAGAGTCCCAGAGATGGATGGTGGGGAGGGTTGCACAAGAACGTGAATATTCAGAAGACTAATGAACTCTATACTTACAGATAGTTAAGACGGTAATTTAAAAAAAAATTTTTTTAGGTATTTATTTGTCAGAGAGAGAGCGCACAAGCAGGGGGAGTGGGAGAGGGAGAAGCAGGCTTCCCGCTGAGCAGGGAGCCCGATGCGGGGCTCGATCCCAAGACCTGATCATGACCCGAGCCGAAGGCAGACACTTAACTGATGGAGCCACCCAGGCATCCCGAGATGGTAAATTTTATATTTTACCACAATAAAAATTTTTTTTTTAAGATTTTTTAAATTTATTTATTTGAGACAGAGAGAATGAGAGAGACAGAGAGCACACGAGAGGGGGGAGGGTCAGAGGGAGAAGCAGGCTCCCTGCTGAGCAGGGAGCCCGATGCGGGACTCGATCCCGGGACTCCAGGATCATGACCTGAGCCGAAGGCAGTCGCTTAACCGACTGAGCCACCCAGGCGCCCCACAATAAAAATTTTTAAAACAAAATAAAAACAGGTACATGATTAATTCATAAGATGTACAGTAAAAGGATGACACCACCCAAAAGCTAATTGGTAGAACAGACAGATGATTTATAATATACGCGCACTGTGGAATACTATACAGCAATGAGGTACGTTTGGCAACAAGCCATGCAACCTCACAAACATAATGGGTTGTTGTTTTAAGATGTGCTTCTTTATTTGAGGGGAGGAAGGAGGAGGAGAGTGAGAGAAAGTCTTAAGCAGACTCCACGCTGAGCGCAGAGCCCGACGCGAGGCTTGATCTCACCATCCCGAGATCACGACCTGAGCTGAAACCAAGTCAGAGGCTTAACCGGCTGAGCCCCCCAGGCGCCCCACACAATGTTTGTGTTTAATTTTAATTTGTGTTTAATAAATTTGTGTTTAATTAATGTTTGACAAGAGAAGGGAGCTGTGAAAAGGAACACGCTGTGTGCTTCTACGGACGTGACAGTCAAGAACGTGCGTGCGTGGGGACTCCTGGGCCTGGCTGGTGAGTGGAAGGGGGCCAGAGGGGGGCTTCTAGGGTTCTGGTCACATTCCGTGCTTTGAGGTAGGTGGTGTTTGGTTTGCGCAAATTTCACCAAGCTGAGCATTTTTCATCTCTGCACCCTCCTTATAGTATTTATGTTGCACTTCGATAAAACTTTTTTTTTTAAGCAAACAAGCAAGAGAAAAGCGGGGGACCGAGGGGCTTCTTCTTGGAAGCCTCATTCTCCACGTATGGGTCCTGAGGCTCCCATCTCCCGGGGCCTCTTTGGAGCTAGGAGTGCCTGGTGCTTCTCCTCGGGCCTCAGCACCCCTTCCCTGGCCGCCCCAAGCACCCCGACGCCCGTGCCCTCACCTCTGTAGCCTTGAGGATGAGCAGCCCTTGCAGTGTACTGTTGTCGACGGCGACCAGAACCCAGGTGTCCGCAGCCACAGAGTTCACGGCCACGGTCCCGGAGCTGTTGACTCGGCCTGGGACCCCCAGGGCCTGGAGGGGTTTAAAGAGACACGAAAGCAGGGCTCTTGACCAGGACAGGGTTCAAAGTGGGCATCAGGGGTCCCATGGCCTCTCCCTTGAACTGTCCACCCAACGGGGCATGAATGTCTTTCTAGGAGAGGGTTTGTGACTTTGATCACGTTCTCAAAGTGCCCGAGGGCCCCCTGTTGGTAGCTCTCCGCTATTTCCTGAACTTCCCCTCCTGCCTCCCCGCCCTCCCCGAATCCCCAGGGATCCGATTTTGGCAGCCAGGAGAACCCGGTCTTGTGAACCAACCTGCCCAAGAGTCTCAAAACCAGGGGAGCTGGAAATCCTCCCCCTTCTCGGCTCTCCCCCTCCCTGGGCAAACCCAGACATCTGCTCCCAACACACACAGGAACCCTCCAGAAAACTGACAGCAAGGCTGGTACACAGAGCATCTTTTGGCTCCTCACCTTAGCGCCTGGCAGAAGGAGCACCCTGCTCCCCCACCCCCTCTCTCAAACCCCTATACCCCAACTTCCACCCAGTCCTCTCTCTCAGCCTCTACAAAGGATCCTGAATCTGAGTGCCCTCCCACCTCATGTGCTTTTCATAAAACAGGAGTCCGCGAACGATGGCCCACGGGCCAAATCCAGCCCACCATCTGCTGTGATAAAGCTTTATTGGAACACAGTCACGCCCATTTGTGTATATATTGTTTATATGGTGTTTCGGGCTATAACCACGGGGCTGAGTAGTTACAACAGGGCTGCACAGTCTGCAAAGCTGAAGATATTTACTCTCTGGACTTTTAGAGAAATGGTTTGCTGACCCTGGTCCTAGCAAACGCCCTTGCCTCTCTGGCTCTGCCTCAGGGCCTTTGCACTGGCCCTGCCTAGAAGGCTCTTTCCCTAGATTTCCACACGGCTCCTCCTTCCTCTCCTTCAAGTCTCTGCTCAAACGTCATCTTGTCTCTAGGGACAATCTTGACCGACTTATAAAAAATTGCAGTATCTGTCCTGTCGTTCATCCCCCATTCCTACTTTCTGCCTCCCCGTAGTCCTTATCACTAGGTAGTAGAGTCTGCCCTTCACTGATGTATGCCGGGGATTGCCTGTCTCCCCCAGGCAGGCATTTACCTCTGCTTGGTTCATGGCTGTATTTCCAGGGCACAGAGTGGGCTCAATAAGTATTTGATGAGTCCCTTCTTCTGGGGTTCAGTCAATCCCCCTTGTTTCACCACTGGTTGAAAAGAAGGCCCCTGCCCTGCCCCCTCGAGACCCTGAGGCCCACTCCCCCCCGACACCGAAGTGCCACCTACCTGCAGGGCCTCGCAGGAGCTCTGAGCGAGCACCTGCCACTGTAGCCCACGGTCCAGGTGCAGCTCACCACTGCCCTGCAGCTCACAGGCCCCCACCTGTAGCTCCAGACCCAGCCGGTGCCCGGCCTCCCACCCAAGCTGGACAGTCAGCAAGGCCTCCGGGGGGACGGCCCGCAATGCGGGCAGCGCGTGACTTAGCTTCACTTGGAGTGTGGCCTCGGACTGGTGCATGGCCGCCGCCAAGGTCAGAGAGGCGGTCTGGCCGGCCCATGCGAGGGCCCCGGATGCCTCTGCTTCCCCACCTGCGGCCTGCAGGGAGCCAATGAGCTCTGTCCCTGCTGGGAGGCCCAGGCCCTGCCAGACCAGAGGGGGTTCAGAGAGAGGTCCCAGGTCAGGAGCGAACCCGATTCTCCATCAGCCACCCTCTAATCCCTCCAGCCCCCAGCCCCCCAATCTGTGCTTCCCTTGCTCCCCCCACCCCATGCAGATAACAACAAAACAGCAGTAATCACAAAACACAGCTATCCAGTGTAGAAACTCAGTACCCCCACAGCCTTATGCTAAGTGCTCTGCAGGAACCACCTCTCTGCAGCCTGTTCCCAGCCCTGAGCTGGGTAGTCACTGTCCCCATGTGACAGATGGGGATACTGAGGCTCAAAGAGGCAAAGCGCATGCCCAGGGTACCAGGGGGTACCAGCAGAGCTGAGGTCTGTACCTGATCTATCTGTGCCTCTAATCTAGGCCGTCCAATAGGATAGTCGCTAATGACGTGGGGCTGTTTCCATTTAAATTAAAAGGAAGTAAAAGGAGAAACTCAGTTTCTCCGTTGCACTGGTGAGCACCATGCTCAGTAGCTACATGTGGTTACTGGCTACTGTCCTGGACGCAAAGGAAGAACTTTCCTTCATCCTAGAGCTCGAGTCGGTGGGCCTCCCATGATGCTTTACGCTCTCACGGCTCAGTCGGGTCATTTAATAGCAGCAGGCATCTGCGAGTGCTCGGGATGCGGAGGGGACCAGACCCCATCCCTACCCCCAGGAAGCTCCATCGGGAGGGGGAGAGACAAGGGGACAGGCAAGGTGGCCTGTCCCCCAGATGAAGATGCCCGTCCTGACTCAATGTCCCCCTTTCTTGAGACTTGGGTTCCCCTCCCCCAAACATCACAGGACACTTCTCAGACCATCTCTTGGTCCGGATAAAGCCCAGGCTGTGGTCTCATAACCAACACGTGCCTGTCCCCACCCTCAGAAGAGGTGAGTGCCCCTCATTGCCTTTCTGCACTCAGAATTTCCCTGAAAAGACAAATTCATAAATTCCAAGTCTGTGGTCCTTCTGTTGCACAGCGCTGAGTGACCCTTCTCTCTCTTGGCCTCGATCTTCCCGTCTGCCAAACGGGAATACGAGACTAGAGAGGAACCGAGTGTTGGAGAGAGGATCTGGGAAATAGCGACTGGGGTCTTGGGAAGCGCCTGGAGGAGGGAGCCAGCCAGGCCCAGGCCGCACACTGCCAGGCGCTCTGGAGGCCCCTCCGGCTGCCCTGTTGGCCGCCATACCCACCTCCAGCAGCGGGCAGCCAGGCTCGCTGGCCAGTGTCCATGCGCTCTGGTTCCCAGCGTGTTGCTCCAGCATGCCCCGCAGCCGGCATGGCCCCAGCTGGACGGCCAGGGAGCTGCGGGCGGCAGGGCGGGGCTGGATGGCCAGGCTGATGGCGCTGCTGGGTGGCAGGCCCAGGCGGCCCAGCGGGGGCAGGGAGTGGGCCAGGCGCCCGATGACCGAGGTCTGGGGCCCACAGGTGCGGGCCAACTGCAGGTGGGCATCCCCACGGTCACTGCGGAGGCCCGTGGCCAGACTGACGTCGCAGGGGCCCCAGCTCAGGCTGCCCTCGGAGTGCAGGGCCTGCGGAATGCCTGTCACCTGGAATATGGAGAAGTGGCTGGATTTAAGGGCAGCTTCAGAAGCCAAGGTCGGGGAGCTGGGGACGGGCCTGGCTGGGAAGAGGGTGGTGTCACCCTATGGCCTCAGCTCCACTGGCACCTCCCTCTGCGAAGTGGCCGATACCCTGGGTACCCCACTGACAGTCGTGGGCTCCAGTTCTGGCTCCAACACTGACTCTATCTTTCTGAACCTGAAACCTCAGTTTATCCATCTGGGAAATGGGGGTTGATCACAGCAACCTGTTACTGGGAGATGTCAATGAGCTAATACTTGGGACTTGCTGGCCAGAGCCAGGCACCAGAAAGCACCGGCTATTGGAAATTCAGCATCGATATCAACGATCGTTGGTTGGAGGGCAGAGAGCCTAAGTAACTTGTCCCACGGGGGCTGACGACACGCCCCGCATGGAGGCACTGACCCAAGATGGGAACGAGAGGGGAGGGATGGGGTTAATTCCACTCTGATCTCCCAACTTCCCTGGGCCCCAGACCCTGGGACTAGGGACACAAGCAGCCCCTTCCTAGAAGGGGTGAGGATTTGGGGAGCATGTCTGAGAAGCCTCAGCATACAGTGCTCACAAAAGTCAGCTGTTACTTCTTAATGTTCTCCTGATTACTCCCAGACCCTGAATCCTGGGGGCAGGATTAGCAAGATCAGGAGAAAAGAATCAGCTTGAGCCCCAGAAAGGAAGACAACCAGGGGGGCCCCTCTGTGAAAAGGGAGAAAATTAAGTTTGGGTTCCATTTTTGGCTCAAAGCTTTGTAGTCAATGCATCCCCCAAAGTCAGGATGGAAGTTTCTCATGCTGAGTGCAGAGCTGGGTATACAGTAAGAAGTTAATAATATAGAGAGGGGCGGGAGCCCTGCCAGGCCCCTGCACTGCCGGGTGGGGAGGGGGCTTACCTCCAGCAGAGGACAGCGATTCACCAGGGACAGGGTCCAGTTGGTGTGAGTGGTGTTGACTTCAGCACCAATATCCCCACGAGCGGTCAGGGTGCACAGGCCCAGGGCCACCTCCAGCCTGGCCCTGGGGGGTTCATGCCCCCCCACAGACAGCTGGATGTGGTTGTCGGGGGCAACCCCCAGAGCCTGAAGGGGGGGCCATGCGTGCTGGAGGCTGGCATCCAGATGGGTATGGCGGTGGCCGCAGGCTGTGTGAACGTGGGCCCGGGCGAACGTGTCCCCAGAAGATACCTGAGCCACCAGGCTGGCCGTGCGGGTGTGGACCAGGAGGGAGCCATTCAAGGACAACACAGCCAGATTCTGCCCCCGAGAAAGGCACGGTGAGGCCGAGCAGGTGTCCCTACAACACCCCACCACGTAGTGGTTCACTCTCTACCTGGCCTGGGTGGTCAAGGGAACCCCCAACCGCTGGGCCACCCACAAACCCAGTGAACAAGCTCTAGTCCTGCCCATGTGCTTCTCTCTGAAGAGCTGAAAATGGAGACAAGTCACGTGTCCTCTCAGAGCATTTCAGGGTCCCTGATGTCCCCCTCCCCATAGGCCTGGATTTGCTGAGCTGCTCTAGAACTGAGGAACGCCTTGATTTCTAGCTCTTTCCCAGCATTCCAGACCACAGCTATCTGAGGGAAGGGCTATCCATTCACCGCTCCCGTCCCAACCCTTCTCCAGTTACTCTTTCTAGCAACCCCCTCCCCCAAGTGTGTGCCATGCTTGCAGCTGCCAATTCCATGTGCCCTGACTCTTCAATTTCATGGAGCGGGGGGAGGCAGCCCCTCTGTCCAGCCCGTTGAAACCTTTTCAGTCCTGACCCTCCTATTCTCTTAGTTAACTCTCCCACCATTTAGGCCCCAGTGTGACCCAGCTCCTGTGGGGGACGCTAGCACACGGCCAGGCTAGGATGGCGGGCCTCAGGAGCAGAACACCTCTGTCCTCCTCCTCCAGGCAGTCCTCTGGGCTACGTCCCCCTCCACTGCCATCAGGCCACAGAGCTCAGCCAGGCCAGGCCTGCAACCAGCTGCCCACTCAGTTGCCTGCAGAGCAGCACTGACAAGGTCTGCAGGCAGCCCTGTGGTTGCCCCATGTCTAGTGCACCCCGGGTCCAGGAGCCACAGGACCTGCCAGAGCTCAGGGAGGTCTCCCTGTCACGATCTGCCTGTGATAGAGAGGAACCACTGTTCACTTGTGCCCCAGCCCAGGAGAGCTTGGAGCTACCTACACTGGACCACCATCTGCCACCACTGTCCCGCCTGTAACAGAGACCCATGTACCTCGAGAGGCTGCCTGGCGAAGTCCCCCCAGCACAGCCCTGACAGCTGGGCAGGCGAGGCGTCTCTAACACAGCTGACCTGCGGAGACCAGCAGGGCGGGGAGGGGGACCTGCTGACGGCCACTGTGGGGAACGTAGCCACGGGAGGCCTCTTCCCCCAACCTAGAGCCCACATGGAGCGCCCACAGCCGGCTCAACCCCACCTCCCTTTGTGGAAAATAACCCCCCAAAGAGAAGTCCAGACGCCCAAGCGCTAACCCACAGCATCCTCATCAAACCGAGGGAACCAGAGCTCATGTCCTCACGGGGCCTGCGTGTGCCAGGTTCTCACTGGTTCTAGGAACTGTTAGCAGTCGCTTTTTGCAGATTAGGACACTGAGGCACAGAAAGAGTAAGCACCTTGCCCGAAGTCACGCAACCGGTCAGTGAGGCAGTAGCCTGGCTGCAGCACGCGGGGTGCCCGAATCGCTCGGCCCACCTCCCACACACTGCGGAGGGTGCGGCCGGCCGAGCGCCCGCGCACACGGGGCTTCCTGCTTTTCATTCTGGAGACTAGCGCAAGAGTCAGCTGCGCTCGCCCTTCCTTCTGCAGTGTTGGAAGTTCCTCCAGGGGAGGTACCCAGAGGACGAGCGGACAGCCAGGGTGTGGGCAGTTTTAACTTTACTAGGTGGGGGGGTGATAGGACAGGTGGAGGAGAAGACGAGTGGACAGAAGAAAGAGGACGAGATACAGGCAGGATGGCAAGGATGGAAGGGACGGTGAATGGAAGGAAGAGTGGGAAGTTGGGAGGGAAGATGGGGGCTCAGGGGAGGGGCCAACGTGGCAGGGGAGGGGCCAGGCTGGGTGGGAGGGGTCTAGCCGGGCCGGGTGGCAGGGGCGCAGTGGCAGGAGCCACTGGGTGGGGTGACCCCCACCCGCGAAGTTGGAGAGACAGAGGCAGCTGGGGTGCACTCGCGGGGTGGGTCACTCACCCGGAGCCGCGCGGGCACGGTGCCCAGCAGCGCCGAGAGGCCGTGGTGCAGCTCCAGGGCCAGCCCGTGGTGGCCGCGCTGTCGCCTCGCCTCCAGGGCCACGCGGAGCTGCTCGCTGTCCACGCTCGCCGTCAGCCCGGCCGCCACGCGGTGTCCCGTGCTCTGGGCAGAAGCGAAGCTGTGGGTGTCCCTCGGACCCGCTACTCCCCCTGCCCCGCCCCGGGGCCCCGTGCCCAGCCTCCCACCCACCACCCCCTACCTGGAAGTGACCTTGGCTGTCCACGGAGAAGGGGAGGCCCCAGCGCCTGAGGCTGGGCACCGTGTGGGCCAGGCTGGCGCGGAGCCTGCTGCCCGGGGCGCCGGGGGCCGGGCCGGCTAGGCCGAGGGCAGCGTCCAGCTGACCCCACGCACTCCGCAGTGCCAGGCTCGTGGAGAGGTTGGAAGCCCCGTGGGTGTGTGACAAGAGCATCTCTGCCTCCGAGGGGAGTCCTGGGAGCAAAGGGAACCACAGAGATGGCTGAGCCCAGTCTGCACTCCACGGGAGCCCTAAGCGGGCAGGGGGTGGGTGGCTGTGAGCCCACCTTCTCTCTGCAGGGTCGGCAGGCCTTGAGGCAAACTCCGGCCTCTCAGGTCCCACTTCCCCCAATATACCTGAGCAAAGCATATGAAAGTGTCAACATGAAACCATTTCCGATCCTCAGCAGTGATGATTTCACCAGGTACCACACTCACGAGTGAGAAGGTCAGGTGTCCCCTTCTCATTTCTAAGCCCCCCAGGGACAGGGACTGGCTCTCACAGAGCAGGAGGGGAATGGGGCGGGGGGCGGGGGTCTGATCTTTCGCTCTCCCCTAGCTGCTGCACCTTTGGGCCCCGCCAGGCCTTACTGAAATGTCCCCAAGAAGCTGGGTGTCCTATTTCCTATCTGTGGTACAGTAGCATATCGTGGAGGCCCCACTAGACCAGCTTCCAAGACTGAGAAGCTGGAGGGGAGGTGGTGTGGTGGGGGGCCCTGGGGGAGGGGGTGGCAGCAGGGGCTCTCTGCCACTGGGTTTGGAAGCATGTCAATACTCAGGAACTACGACTATCTCTGTATTGTGTGTTCTGGATGAACACACACACACCGGCAGGGGAAGGAAACAGAGCTGGAAGCTGGAGGCTCCTTTCTCTCCCCCCTCCCTTGGCTTCAGGAACTGGGGGCCCTTGGGGAGGAAGGCATGCGGCCCTGTCCGCCCCTCCTACCTGCCTCACTCAAGGTGCTGATGTTGTGGCTCAGGCTGGCTGAGAGCTGGCCGTGCCCAGGGCCCCAGGTGCAGACCCCGCTCACAGCCAGGCTGGCCGTGTGGGCTCGGAGGCGGGCCTGGCCCCCGAGGCTCCCTGGCTGGGCCTGCAGTCGCCCTCTCAGCCAAAGCTCTCTTGGCAAGGCCTGGCTGCTCTTCTGGGGAAGGATGCCGGTCACACTGTGCATGCTGGTGCTGTTCCCTGCCTTCTCATGCTTGTC